GCCAAACATAAAAGGACAGATACTGTATGATTCCATTTATATGAAGGGCCTGGACTAGTCAAATTTATAGACACAGAAAGTCTGTACCAGAGGCCAGGGAAGGGGAAAAACAGGTAAGTTATTATTTAATGGATATGGAGTTTCTGTTTGGGATGATGAAAAGGTTTTAGTAGATAGTGGTGATAGTTGTAGAACCCTGTGAATAGACTTGATGCCACTGAATTGTATGCTTAAAAATGATTGAAGTGATGATTTTTTTTTTTTTTTAAGTACCAGGGTTCAAACTCGGGACCTTCTGCTTGTGAGGCAGGCAGTGGTACCACTGAGCTAAATTTCTGACCCTATGTGATGACTTTTATTATGTATCTTTTGCCACAGTTTTATAAAAAGCCCCCCCCAATCATGTTTACATACATTATATGTGTTTTGTTATGTGTGGTTCCTTTTTAAACCATAGTCTCTTTAGACCAAAGGGCACATCTAACTCATGAAACTAAGAAATTAACTGGAGTTGACCCAAAGTCAGGTGCCTGGTGTTCCCCCATATCTGTTTCTGTCTCTCAGAACAGCTTCTCTGTAGGTCGAGGTCTTTCCAGGAGGGTATCTGTATGATAGGGGGAAAAATGACCAGAGGTGGCTTCAGGTTTACAGAAGTCAGCAAACTTCTTCCTTAAGGGGTCAGATAGTACATATTTTAGACTTTGTAGGCTGTGTGGTGTTCATCGTAACTACTCAGCTCTACCTTGTAGCAGGAAGGCAGCCCCAGATGGTACGTGAGCAAATGGGTGTGACTGTGTCCCAATAAAACTTTACTACAAAAACATGTCCTGTTAGCTGGGCCTGGTGGCACACACGTGTAATCCCAGCACTTGGGAAGCTGAGGCAGGAGGGTCGCTGTGAGCCTGAGACCCTGTCTTCAAAAAAAATGTGCTAGGATAAATCCTAACTATAGTTTTCCAACCTGGCCTTGTCTTCCAGTGGTCCAGGTAGAAGTTGCATGGAGGAGACTGTGGTTTAGGGCTAGGACTAATGTGAGGCCAATGAGATTTCTTTTTAGTCACAAAATTTAAGGGAGGAAAAACCCTCAGCAATCAAAATACATAACATTTTCATGTAATATTAAAAAAATCAAAATTAGTGCAAAAACTCCATAATGAACAGAATATGAATAGGGTCAGGTTGAGTGAGGATGGGCGTTGGAGGTGTGCAGCCTGCTGTGGCCTGGTAATTGATATTGCCAGGGGAGGAAGAGGGTGACCTGGCACTGAAGGCTACTTCACAAGGAACTGAGTAGGATATGTCTCCTCGAGGAAAGAGAGGTGCTGTCACCAGAAGAAAGAGAAGGGGATGCCGCTTGCTTGTCTTGTGCCTGGGCTTTTATTTCAGATGTAATAATGATATGAAAAGCTGTTTATCATTGAATGCCTTTTACCTGAAGATAAGTTAATTGTGGCTGACATACAGCATTTATTGGATACACATTATGTGTATTCTTATTTTCTCATTTTCCCACAATAACAATCTTTGAGGTAAACATTGTAATCCCCATTGTGTAGATGAGGAAGGTGGAGGACAAGGTGAGTCACCCAAGGTCGCACAATGCCTCAACTACAATTTGAACCAAGGTATTTGTCTGTCTTGTAATCTCCATAGTGTGGATTCTTGGCGTTGTCATTGAAAGCTGAGGCCCCTTGGAAACTGCCAAAAGCCAGTGCTATTAGGGTTCCTCTGTTGGCAAGTGCCCATAGGCAGCTCACTTCAGCACCCCAGGCCTGGCACTTGTCTTGTTGACATTTGGCTTTAGGTGTTCTGAGAACCAGGCGCCCTTGTGTGCTTTTTGGAATTTATCCCATGTTTCAGAGCAGATTGGTGTGTATTCCCAAATTAAATTATGGACATCACCTGCTTTAAATGGCAGGTGAGCTGCACTTTAAATAGACCACATTAATCTTGGTGGTAGAAGCAAAAACCTGCTGGGATAATTCTTATCATCGTCAGCATCACTCCAAACATGCTTTAAAAGGATTCTGTAGCAGTAAGCAATTTGCAAAATTGAAAGGTGAAAACACTATAAAGTGTTCATGTGCACTCAATGTCAGAGGGGGGTGACTGCATTTTTCAAGAAAGGCAGGGTGCAGGTGAGAGTCACTTGGTCTGAAATGGGATGGAAATGCAGGTGGTTGTCTGGGTATTTCAAAACACATTATTGGCTGCTGGCTCAGGACATTAAGCTCTCCCCAAATTCTGCTGTCCCAGTTTGAGAGAGGTGGAGAGTGGGAACAAAGCTGTTTTGTACAGTTGTGTGGTTTGAACTGATCTAATAAATTCTGGAAGAGGATTAATTTCACATGTAAAGGTTGAGACAGGAGACAGTTCTGAGAGAACAGCCCCATGGGTGGCTTTGTCAGTTGTCCTAGGAAGTTTATTCTAAAGAATCCCAAAGGGTAGCTGGATTCACAAATACATACGCACACCCATGCATACATACACGTCGAGATACTGTTAAAATCAAGAGAGGAAGCCACAGAGATGTCCTCTTCTGGGGAGGTAATTATTAAGTACACAGTGGTTGATCATCATAAGCTGGGCATTATGCTCAGCACTGGACCTTCCTGTTCTCCAATTACCCCAGGAATCCTGGGCATATCTGTACATTGGTGTTTATGGGAGAGTTATCTGAGGCTTACCATAGTTGAGTGAACTGCCCAGAGTCATTCAGTTGAACAATCACTTCACCAGTTTGTCCTGGGTGCTAGACTGGAAGCACGTTTAGGGATGAATCCTAGTTGATACCTGGTACCAGGGCTAGCCCGATTCATGGCTCACAGGAAGAATGCAGTCAGTCCTAGTTCAGATGACTTGACATAGTAGAGTGAGTGTATTAACCTGGTGCCCAGTTTATGGAGCTGTGTGTTTGCATTCTTCTGGAAGGAAGGTTCAGAGGCTACCACATTCTCACAGGGGTCTGTGGACCTGTTTAGCTCATGGACTGGAAACTGGGTCTAGCAGGAGAGACTCAGCTTTTCCCCTTTTGCAATATGAAGCAATTATGAACATGCTCCTTAAGAAAAAAAATTTTAATTAAATGTTTGCAATACATGATAGTGATGTTCATTTGAGGGAGTTGGTACATGTATATAACATGTCTGATTATTTTTAATCCCATGCCCCAAAATTCTGCCTTCTTTGAACATGCTTATTTTGAAGAAGATCAAGTTTCCTTGTTACGTAAGACAAAAATGTGTTTGGTGGTTTGCAGTTACCTCTGAGCCTGCCTGCAGCTGTACCACTTACTAACCGTGTACAGTATTGTTGTGTGTGTTCTTCACCTGTCCAGGCCTTATCATGGACATGGAGATGGCCTTGGTTGTTATGAGGTCAGATGTACAATGTTGGGTGGGGTGGCTGGTGCGTACCTGTAGCTAACACTCAATAAATGGTAGCTACTGCCCCTGCCCTTATTATTGGCACCATGAAAAAGAGTTGATGAGCCAATCTTATTAAGAGAAGAAAATAGGTCACAAAATTAGGTATACACTAGTTACAACTGTGGAAAAAACTGTGCCTGTGGATAAGAAAGGTGGATTTGAGGAGATTATAAGTAGTTAAAGAATATTTTATAAGGACTTTTAAGATAAATGAATCTGATGCTGGCAAAAAAAAAAAAAAGAAAAGAAAGACTATGAGTGCATCTTAACAAACTCTTAAGCTTTCTTTTATAGCCTTAAATCTGTTCCTACTCTTAGACCTAGAAATTCAGCCTATGAAAATCTCTTCTGAGGAGCTAGAAATGAGGACAATTATTTATGTATAAGAGTGTTCTTTGCTATATAGAGGGAATATTGGCAGTGTATTGTATTATTTCTAACAGAAATAGCTATATTATGTTTCACTGGGAAGCCATAAAAATCATGTTTGAAGGCTTTGTTTTGTTTTGTGCTTTTTGAGACAGGGTCATACTATTCAGTCTAGGCTGGCCTTGAACTCCCGATCCTCCTGCCTCAGGCTCCCAAGTACTGGGATTATATGCATATGCCTGAAGACTTTTAATTGTAGTAGGAAAAAGTTCCTGCTCTAGACCAAAAGTGAACCAGGATACAACATTTTATACACATACATATAAATCATATAGTATGATACACTATTTTTTTATGGCTGATACAACAAATTACTACAAAGTTCGTGGCTATTTGTGAGAAGTGATCTTGTTTTTTTCCCGGACTGGCCTAGAGCCATTGGGCTTAAGTGATCCTCCTGCCTCAACCTTCTGAGCAGCTAAAACAATAGATGTGTGCCCCTGTGCTTGGTTTAATCTTGGTGCCCTTCAAACAGCACAGATTTATTCTCTTTAGTTCTGGAGGCAGAAGTCCAAGGTCAGTTTGGGTGGGTTAGGGATAGGCTGGTTCCTAACCCTATGGAGAATGGAGGCTGCAGAGCAGAATGCTTTTTTGCCTCTTGTGGCTTTTAGTGGCTGCCAGCATTCTTTGGCTGTGGCCACATCATTCTGATCTTTGCTTCCCTGGTCATACCACCTTCTCCTCTTCTGAGTCAAACTACTCTCTGGCTCCTTATAAAGATACTTGTCACTATATGGGCCCACAGGGATTAGCCAACATAATCTTCCCATTTCCAGATCCCTAATTTAATCACAATTACAAAGGCCCTTTTGCTGTGTTACATACCATTCATAGCTTCCAGAGATAAGACATATTTTTGGGAACCATAATTAGGCCTGCTGCAAATGTTGAGTTTTGTATAAGCAAGACAGGTGCAGGGCAACAGACTGGAAGGAAATTCTTGAACATGTTAGCTAACAATGGTGCTCTCTGTATGGCATGTTTTGGAGTCATTTTTATTTTTGACTATTTCTGTGTATCTCCCACCTTCTCTATGTTAAGGAAGTAGCTCTTTTCCAATCCAGAAAGTTGCCTGGGAACCATTGCTGCAAAAATAATGAGTGTTGCAGGCCAAGTGACGTGGATGGTGCCCTCTCTCCCCAGAGCCTGTATTCTGGTACTATGTGAAGGAGGTCCTCAACAAGCACGAACTGCAGCGCTTCTACTCTCTGCGCCACATCACCTCGGACGTGGGCCGGGGCCGGGCCTGGCTGCGCTGCGCCCTCAACGAACACTCCCTGGAGCGCTACCTACACATGCTCCTGGCCGACCGCGGCAGGCTCAGGTACCCAGTGGGATGGGTTCTTCAGAAGGATGCAATGGAGTCCAGGGCTGAAGATGGCAGAGACCAGATAGAGTCAGATCTCCGGGATTTGCAGCTCAGTCCTGACCCCGGTGCAAGTGGCTCCCACCCTGCAGCTCTAGACTGTTCAGCTGTGCTGTGGACACTGGGTGGGAGAAACAGTGTGAATGCCTGTGAAGGGCTCTGCATGCTCTCTGCACACAGCAGCGCTCAATCAGTGCTCATTGTTATCAAGGCTTTGGGTGTGGAGAGAGCTATTTTCTTAGCCTGCTCTTCTTCATTTCATGGGATTTTAATTTCAGATTGTTTTATGCACTCAATCCCAAGATGACTGAAAACATAGGGAAGTTTTAAGTTAGGGAAGGAAGTCTTTTTTTTAAAATTAAAATCTTTGTTTTTTTCCTTGGTAATAAACATAAAATTCATTCTCAATATAGGTCAGTAACAAAAGCTCAAAAATATCAGTGATGTGAGACAAGCAAGTTTATTTCTTCCTTGTACTGCATGTCTGTCATGGGAGAGTGTTCACACCTCAGGGATTCAGGATGACCAAAGGCTCTTCTTCTATATATACTTCATTTATGAGGCATGTGTAGAGTCAAGGTAGAGAGAGGAGTCATGGGTGAACTAAGCACTGATGGTAAAGCTTCTCCTCACAGAGACACTTCCAATCCTGCCTCATTGGCCAAGACAAAGCACATGGCCACCCTCAAGCTTGGCAGGATGGAAGGCATCGTTAACCCGTAGCAGTGGCTCTGAGTAGGAGCCAATGACGGTATAGTCAACCTCATTTCCTTCAGTTGAAAATGCTACAGAACCCACTGATATAAAAATTTAAACCACTCATAATTTATACAGAGCTAGCTCTAACATGTTGGCATTTTTTCCTTTTTTTTTTTTTTTTTTTTAAATTCATCATGTTTAGGTCTCTCTGCTTTGACTTTGGCTCTTACTTTCCCACTGAGAATGGTGAACTAGACATGTTTTATTTCTCCTGATGGTACTCAGGGACAGTGATCAATTCTGCCCAGGTTCCTTGAATAACTTTCATGTCAGCAGTGCCTGGGTCCTTAGTATTGGGATTTCATTTCATTCAACAATCTGGGATTTCATTTCATTCAACAATCTGGGATTTTATCAGCATTATGATGCAATCACTTGATTTTGTATCCTGCCAAATGTTTCCTGGCCAGGTCTCCCCTGTTGCTTGTGTTGCTGTAGTCACTACTCTACCAATAATTCCTTGATTGTTCTGGGATCAGGTGTTAGGGATCTTTAAAATATCCTTGAGGAGGAAGAAAAGAAAACCAACACTTGAGGTTCTCCCATTGATGTCACCTGCGACTCTTCATCCAAATGTGTGCTCAGACCCCGAGGCTCTGAAATGGGCGGGTTTGGGAGCTAGGACAGCTGACATTGGGCACCATGTACTGCTCAGGGCTGGAGTCAGGAGACTGAAGAAAGTCTGTACCTCTGAGCACTAATCTGCTTTAGTTAAGGAGAACACACTCATATTTCTTAAAATGAATTTTTGTGAAGCACTTTCCAGCAAGTTATTTGTAAATAATTCAGAATTGCATCCTCAATACCGAAGTTGCATTTAACAGTGAGAAATTGAAGTGAATCGCAGTTAAAAAATACAGTGGAACTTCCCTGAATTACTAGCCACTTATCTAACTTAATGTGGCGAAACCACATTCAGTGAGCATGAAAACTGGCTTATATATTCAAAGAGTCATAGTTGTGAGAGTCAGATACAGTTGAAATGCCAGCTTGATCTTGTGGTTTTTGCTTCTACTAACATTTTCCTGGGTAAGTATATTGGAAATGACGTGTCTCTTCTCTCTTTCTGTTTGTTCATTGTATTAAGCTGCATCAGCAGCTAATTTTTTCCAATCTCTCCCTGAAATACAGGACACTCAACACTCATTTGACTCTAGTAAAATTGAGCTTTGACTCCATTAATGTAGAATTCTATGACCTGGTGGGGAAGTCATGGCTTTAAGGATATTTGGTTGTTGTTGGTTAACAGGGAGTCATATAAAGAGTTTAGAAACTGGACTTGAGAGACATGCTTTTAAGTCCTGATTGTAGTATTTATTGGCTGGATAACTTTGGTTGGGTCTTACAGGCTTCTCTGACACTCCCTCCATCTTCACTCCAACTGCTATTTAGATTCACAGGGCTCTTTAAGCCTCACAGTCTTTTTTAGGGGTAATTTGAGCTTTTGAGTTTGTAGCCCAGTCAGGTACTATGAATGAATGCTATGGTTGGTGGAGCCCTGGTGCTCTCTAATTTCTTTCTGAAATTGTTTCTTTTAACCAAATCAGGTGAGCTCTGTTGGCCAACTTGTATTTCTTGTCTCTTGGAGATCTTGCTTGAGTGAGAGTCACCCTTCTGTCTCTTACTTCACTGCCTTATAAACACATTTACGTATGTCTATTTCAGTACTCTAAACCCCGAGGTCTCAGAGGAATAACGAGGAAGTCCTAGGATATATTCGTTCAGACCATTGTGTATAATCAGAAGCTTTAAACCAGCAGAGACCTCAGACAGTGTTTTCTGAGATGACTGACCAGATGCAGATTTTCCAAGAAACTATCTAATGGAATTGTCTAGGTAATGGACGCAGAGAACTACTGTTAAAAGTGTTTTCCTTTTTTTTCACTTCATAGCACTTTTTATGAAGACTGGTCTTTCGTGATGGATGAAGAAAGGTCTAGCATGCTTCCTACCATGGCAGCCGGTAAGCCTGGCCAAGGCCAGCCAGGGGTCCTGGGAAACTTGGTCAACAGAAGGGCTATCTGGGAGTGGATTTATAGCTCCAAGGGGTGCTGTAATTTTTTCTGTCCTGCACCAACTTAATGAGTCACTCACCAATGTCTTTCTTTTAGTGTCTTTTTTTTGTTTGTTTTTTGGTACTGAGGATCGAACTCAGAACCTTGCACTTGCAAGGCAGGCGCTGGCACCACTGAGCTAAATCCCTGGCTTCTTCTTTTAGTGACTTGAGTATGGGATACATTTATCTAGAATATGATACCTTGGAAGACAAAGCATGAGGTTAAAGGGATTTGGTTGTGGCTTGGTAGGTTTAATATAAAGAGCCAGGAAATTAGAGATAGGAGACTTTCTTTGAATTTGGGCTCTACCCCTTGCTGGCCAGATCCCATCTTTTTTTTTTTTTTTTTTTTACCTTGGCTTTCTCCTACCACCTTTTTAGGATTGTGAGAGAGTCATATGAAGTTAAGGGTTATGTACATGATATGTCAGTGTGAAAGCTCTAGATTGATGTAACTTGGTGAATTGCTGAACTGTTTGGTATTGGACTTTCATTCACAGGATGAAAGATGGAATCAACCAGACAAAAGTGGGCAGCTTGTATCTTTCTTGCAAATTCTTTGTTGCTTCCTTTTTTTATTACACTAAGTCCCACATATTGAGGACTATGTTAGCCTTATCTGGGGATGAGAAAAAGCCAATTTGACTATGATTTCCTTTGTAGGCCATAGTAACCAGTGTAAGTTTTTGCCTAAAGTGATTATAGTGATATTATTGGTATATGTTTTAATTACTAATTGAGCTGAATGTTTCTGGTAGGTGATTGTTTTTTAATGCTTAAAACCTTGTAAAGGAGGCAACGTTGCCCCCATTTTACAGCTAAGGAGACTAAAGCTCAGAGAGATTATAAGTTGCTTACCCAAGATCTTGAATTAGTAAATGGCAGTGCTGGGCTTCACGCTAGGCAGTCTGACTTCAGAGATTGTGCCTTCACCTCTCCCTGGGTGATTGTTTGTGTTTGTCTTCCTAACTTGTAGGGAGGGAATCTGGAAAGACTCACTTCACATGATAGCTGGTGTCCACTGACCTGTTTTGTGGAAGGTTTTATAAATGTTGGAAGATCAGTGCATGTCCCCTTATGTCTTGCGTTGTCTGTGCCATGTTTCTCCTGATGAAGTTGTATTTGCTCAACAGCAAACACTCTAGACTTTCCCTTTCTTTGGGCAGGTCTAAACTCCATACTTTTTGCCATTAACATTGACAACAAGGATTTGAATGGGCAGAGTAAGTTTGCTCCCACTGTCTCCGACCTCTTAAAGGAGTCAACGCAGAATGTGACCTCCTTGCTGAAGGAATCAACGCAAGGAGTGAGCAGTCTTCTCAGGGAGATCACAGCCTCCTCTGCTGTCTCCATCCTCATCAGACCCGAACAGGAGACTGACCCTCTGCCTGTCGTGTCTAAGAACGTCAGTGCTGGTGAGCAAGGACAGGCAGTTGGGTCACACAGGGGTAGGTTAAAGGGAGGACGGAGTGTGGCTGAGGGGGACGCCCTCATCATCCGAAAGTCATTCCAACAGGAATGAAGTCGAACACTTGCCTCTGAAGTTCATGTTTGTGTTTATTTTTCTATTCATAATCACTCCAAAGGAAATCAGACTGTCTTACCTAGATGTGAAAATAATGGAGAAGAAAAGCAAACAGTTCAGTCAGAGAAAACTGAAAGTGATGGGTGATAGCCATAGAAATCCATATAGACTGATCCTTAGTCATTTATTCATTCACCATGATCCATGTGCTTGTAAGTAGATAGGTTGCCAACGTTTACCTCATAGTCTTCTTTGAGCAGGGTGAGAGGAGATATTTAAAGACAGATTACACAAATAACTTATTAGCCTTACGGTAAGTACGGCCGGGCACAAGGTGCTTTGGACTTGTCTTTGTTGGGGGGATGACATTTAAGCAGAGGCCTGGAGAAAGAGTTGTCAGCTTTGATGTGAGGTTGTGGGGAGGCAAAAGAAGATTGGTTCAAGTAAGATGCAAGCAAAAAGTTTATAATTCCCCTTGAGCATTTGGAGGTACTCGGTATTTGGTATAGGAGAATGGGAAGTTTGGGGCTTAAGTACTAGTCTGTGTATTCCCAAGTCCCTTAAGGCAGTAATCATGGCCTCCCTTTGGAATCACTCTTTTTTTATTTTGTTTTTTTGAGTCTCTCGCTTTTCTTTTTTCTAATTTAATTTTTATTAGTACATGTTTGCAGTTAATAATGATTACATCCATTGTGGGGAGTTGGTACATATATTAACACATCTTAATCTTTGGAATTATTAATGGCAGTGAAAACTCAGAATGCTATGGGCTCTTTAGCACACAGAGACCTACTGTCTTGCTTTCTCCTTGTAGAGCAGAGATCCCATATGAATGATGTAGGAAGCAGGATGGTTGAGGGCCTTCTGTAACAAAGACACTGACATCTAGATACCCAAAGGACTACCAGTTTTAACCATTTTGGAACTGGTTTTTGCAGTTATCTCAGAATTGTGCTCCACTAGGTTATGCTTTGGTTTATATTCATTGGAGTTGGGGGAAGTGGCTTAATGTGTCTCACATATGAGTTTGGTGATTAAGAGAGGTGAGCAGTGGTCTCATCTTAGTTCTGATCCCTAAGGCAGTCTTGATTTCTGTTTAGCCTTTGCTGTGTAACAAATGACAACAAAATGTAGTGGCTTACGCCCACCACATGCCACGTTTTTTTTTTTTTTTGGTGACACTCAGAATTGAATTCAGGGCCTTGTGTGTGCTAGGCAAGTGTTTTACCACTGACCTACATCCCCAGTCCAGAACATTATAAATTTTTAAATGATTCCCTGACTTGGCATGGTGGTACTACCCCCCCCCCCGACCCCCGGTACCAGGGATCGAACTCAGGACCTTGCACTTGTGAGGCAGGCAGCGGCACCACAGCTAAATCCCCGGCCCCCATGGTGGTACTCTTGCTGGTTTCCTTCTGCCTCATTCACCGGACTTCATTCATCTGGTGGCTGGGTTGCCAGATATGGGAAGATCTCACACATGTGCCTAAAATTACACTGGGGCCTCAGTGATACACGTGGCTCTGTCCTCCAGTGAGCTAGGCTAGCTCCCTTAGGGAGTGGTGCCAGGCATCGGTTCAAGAGGGCAAAGGTGGAAGTTGTGAGGCCTTGTGACACTTGGGGTCTAGAATGCACCATTATTCCTGCTGTATTTCATTGGTAGATGCAGAATGCTGCCCCAGCCCAGATTCCCTCTGAATGGGATGAGCAACACAGTCCCATTGTAAGGGGCATGGTACAGCAGTGGGAGGGATTTGTGGCCATGAAACAGTAGATTGCAACCTCCAGACTGTTTTCTTACCTCATCTACCAGCCATGAGAGTATTTTCTGTAGTGGAACAGTGAAAATCATTTCAGTAATGGTAACACCCTTTGAATCAAATTGACTATGAGAAGAAGCATTATCAACTTATGTTCTGTGTTGTGTTTATTTAAATCAAAGGTAGAGGCCCATATCCATTTTTCTCAGTCTTCTGTAGAGATATTTAGGATTTAGAAAAATTGAAATGTGTCTTACAGTTTATTTCTCCATAGAATACTAAGAATTTTCCATTATGTAGAGGGGAGTTGCCTCAATTATTTTTTTGACTTGTTTACTTTTTCTTACATCGTATCTTTTCTTTTGCCAGATGCCAAATGTAAAAAGGAGCGGAAGAAGAAAAAGAAAGTGACCAACATTATCTCATTTGACGAGGAGGAGGATGAGCAGAACTCTGGGGACATTTTAAAAAAGATCCCCAGGGCGGGGGAGAGCTCGGAGGAAAACTCAGACCGCTCCTCAGTCAATATCATGTCAACCTTTGAAGGCCCCTTCGGGCCAAATTCCAATGGAAGCCAGAGCAGCAGCTCATGGAAAATCGATTCTTTGTCTTTGAACGGGGACCTTGGGTACCAGAAACTTGATGTGAAAAGCATCGATGATGAAGATGTAGATGAAAATGAGGATGATGTGTACAGGAGCTCATTGGGAAGGAAGCACATAGGCCGCTCGGGGTCACCAGAGAAGTAAGTCCCACTTGAGCTTTTAATGAATGGAGTAACATTCTCCTTCTACGGTAGGGGGTGAGATAAGAGTGAATTTTGTATTTGTTTAGGGCATTATTCATATTGCATGTCTTTAGCAGGAGGGACTGTTAGCTTGGCATTCTCCTGAGAACTAAGAGAGGGCAATAGACCATACTTGAAGGCATTTAATACCAAGTGAGGGTTGAGTTGTGTGCCTTGAAGTTCTTACTTTGTACAAATGCATTTTTCCCTCACATCTCTAACTTAGGAGGAAGGCAGGGTTAGTCTAGAGGATAGTCATGGCTGGTGATTTCTGTGTCTGTCTTCAGTGGTGTGGATAGCAGCAACTTGCCTGCACTTACTGGCTTAACACTAGAGTTGCTATAGATTTTAAATCATGGAGGGGTCTTGGTGCAGGTAAAGGCCTAAAACAGAAAAGCGTAGTTAATAACAACCATGGATCTCAGAGTCCAGATAACCTGGAGTTTTATTTACTTGCTATGTGACTTTACTTAGACTGGGTAGGGCAAATTGCTTTACCTCCCAGAGCTTCTGGCCTCAGATGACACCTGTTTGGATAACAGCATCTGCTTGTTAGGGGTGTTGTGGAGTCAGTGAGATACTTCGTGGGGTATTTGGCACAGGGGCTGGCACATTGTGTGACACAACTCAGGGCAGCCACTGATGCTCTTGTACTGCTCTTTTTATTGCTCTCTCTCTCTCTTTTTGTTATTTTGAGACAGGGTCTGACTAGGCAGTTCAGGCTGGTCTTGAACTCGATATGTAACCTAGGCTGGTCTTGAACATGTGGTGATCCTTCTGTCTCAGCCCCCTGAGTGTTGGGATTACAGGCATGCACCACCACGCCTGGCTTCTTGTTGTAATTCTTATGCTCAGTCTTCTTACTGTCACACAGGCCAGTCACACCTTCACTAGGCTTTTGAGTACACAGGGCCACTCTGTTTGTGGCTAATACCATAGTTCAGCCCATTAAAGTGTGAAAGGAATACATATAAATGCACTTTTCCGTGCGGCCAAAATATCATGGTGTTACTTAGCTGCTCAGTATGCCTCTAGCCCTAAGCTTTTGATTTTCATATTGTTTTCATATTAGTTTTTTACTTTCTCATGAAATTGTGGCTAGTTTTTGCTCTTTATCTTTGCTCTTGTCCTTATTCACACGAACAGTACCTGTGTTAGTAATCTCACCTCATCACAGTCTTACTTGTCATGCCCCTGATGTTGCATGGCACTTCGTGCCATAGTGTAACACCCACAGCAGCACCGTGAGGTTAGTGGGTATCACTCCTAATTTACAGATGAGAGAACAGGAGTCCATAGGGTTAAGGTTTGCCAAAGCATTTGGCAAAGCTAGGATTTAGGTTCTTTTATGCTGTATCTAAATCTTATACTGTAATATATTTTCTATGTTTCTATATATGAAAATTAGGTAATTATGGACACCATTTGGTTGATATGATGATTGATGTGACGGTCCGCTTTACTGGGTCACGGTGTACCCAGATTAAACATTATTTCTATTGTTTGTGGGGAAGTTCTGGGTAAGATTAGCATTTGAACTGATGCGCTTGATGCTCTCCCCAATGTGGGGGACATCCAGTCCCTTGAAAGCCTGAATAAACAAAGACTGGATGAAAGGAAGAATTATTTCCTTTCTGACTGTGGGCTTGAGCTGGGACATTGGTCTTCTGCTGCCCTTTAACTATATCTTAGGTACTTTCTTGTTGCTGGGACCCAATACCGGACACAACTTAAGAAGGAAAGTTTTATTTTAGTTAACAAGCTGAATCCAAGGCAGCGTGGCATGGCAGAGGAACATGGCAGAGGAGGCTTATGGCATGGCAGCAGGAAGCAGAGAGGAATTAAGGGAGGAGAGAGGGAGAGACCCTTCCAGGCCACACCTCCGGTGATCCACCTCTTCCACCAGGCTTCACCTCACAACATCACACCCAGCTGTAAACTCATCAGTGGACTAATCCAGTGATGAGTATCACACTCCCATGATCCAATATCCTCCCCAAAGCCCCACCTATGAGCTCATGAGGTTTTGGGGGTGCATCTAGATATAAAGCACAGCAGACTAGGATTGGCATCATCTGCTCCCATGGTTCTTGGGCTTCAGACTCGAACTGAATTACATTACCAGCTTTCCTGGGTCTCCAGTTTGTAGACTGTGGGTTGTGGAACTCCCTGTCTTCCATAATCATGTAAACAAGACCTTATTATAAATCTGTTTTTATATCTATATCTAGTTAAACACATCCCTGGTGGTTATGTTTCTCCACAGAACCCTGACTAATACAGTTGTTATTTGTCAGGTCAGTATGCTCTGACTTGCTAAAGGCTTCCCCCATTGTTAAGTATTTAGATAGTTGGTATTTTTTGTTTTTTGTTGTTATTAGCCATTTTAGAAATGAACATTTTCATGCACAGGGCTGTTTTCTACTCCTAAATTATATAATAGGATAGCTTTTAATAGTGTTCTTTTTGCTCATAGGCTATGAAGGTTTTTTGTGCCTGAGAACTAAGTGTTGTGACCTGCTGAATTACTCAGGGTTCTCCAGAGAAACAGAACTAGTTGGGGGTGGGGGGTGCGGTCAGAGAAAGAGATACTGAGAACTTCTGCTTCCCTCTCTGCCTTGATCATGTTCTGCCTCTTATCTCTTCCTCTGTCTGACTGTCTATCTCTGTCCCTTTTCTATTGATTTGTTTTAAGGAGCTGGCTCATAGGATTGTGAAGGCTGGCAAGTCTTCAGGGTAGGCTGATAGGCTGGAGACCCCGGGGAAAGCAGAGGCATTCTGCTGGCAGAACTGCTTCTTCCTGTAGGGAAGTCAGTCTTTTTTCTTTTGAAACCTTCCACTGATTGGATGAAGCCCATCCAATTATGAAGGATAATCTATTTTACTCAAAATCTACTGATTTAAGCATCAATCTTGACTAAAATGTACCCTCACAGAAACATCTAGAATAATATTTGACTAAATATTTGGGTAATGTGGCATAGCCAAGTTGACACATGATATTATCTCACAACTGCCTTTAGTTCCTTTGAGCCTTTTAGGAAATAGCACTTGCGTTCTCTGTAGATGAGTGCCTCTGAATTGAATCACGCCATGGGTTCTGTGGCCTTAGACTCATTCCTTTTCCTGCCCTGCTGGTTTCATTCAATGGAGCCTGAAGGTGGAGGCCAGCTTGCCACCCAAGGTAGCTGCTGGCATTGTGATGTGTGAAAACACAAAGCAGTGCTGGGTGACCCTCACGGGCCTGAGCCTTCTGAGGGCACTGGGTCTCCAGCTCTCCCTGGTGTATGGGGGAATCTTGATTGAACATCTGCGGAGCAACCTGAGGAGGAGCCAGGGAATGATGAGACGGTGTACTGAGTAATACTTTGATTTTGATTTTAAGCCAGTGTTCACAGGAAACGTTGAGAGGCTGGAGTGCAGCAGTGTGTGAGGGAACTGGCAGGCCAGCAGCAGCTTCCTGTGGATTGCCATTGCTCCCAGGAAAGTCCAGTGACTATCTGTAGGATGACCTGTTGGCCACAGGCTGGGCTTTCTCTGGTAACTGGTAATTAAACCACTTCGATGCCTAAGGAAGACTCTTACCCTCCTTCCTCAGTATTAACCACTACTACTAGCTTTCCTTTTTGTTTTTTTCTGAAAAAAGGTTAGTATCTTTATTATAGAAGAGAAGATTTTTTTTTTTTAAAGCACTCTATATGTGCTCTATGACACCAGTAAGGAACTAGGGGAAAAACATAATTCAAAAGGTATTACAATCATGAAAGAAAAAGTTGTATCTCATTAAGAATTAATAAATGCAGAGTGAATCGAGGCATCACATCTTACCCATCACATTTGCCAGAATTTAAATGAGAACAGGTTGAAGGCCAGTCCTGACTTAACAATGAGTTGGTTCAAAGGAGCGGGCTTGTTCCAAGCCAGCTGGTGCTCAGTCAGCCCTTGCATGGTGAGAGGGGCTGTGCACCAGGGCTGTTGATTGCCTTGGGGAAAGCAGTTTGACCAAATATCAGGAAATGTTTATCCGCTTGACTCAGCAGGCCCCTGCTGACAGTCTGCCTGAGGACACACTGTACTCTCAGCTCAGGGAAAAAGTTGCTGCAGGCAGACACCAAAGTCCCCATTCAGGAAAGCAAACGCTGGAGCTGACCTGTATGTGCAGCCACTGAGTACCAGCAGGGTATTTTGGAGTTAAGCTTTAACATCTTTTCTTTTTTTTTTCCCATTAAATTTATCGGTCCATTTTAGGTATAAAATACAGTTACATTCATCATTGGGATCTTGTACCATTACATGAGTATCTTGGTTCTTCCCCCCC